GGGGGAGCAGGGGGTTGGATCAGGTGAGGGCACAACAGCATAGAGATAGGAATACATATCAGAGTGGCTTATGTCTTGGTCATTGCTCAGAAATACGGAGAATAATGAGATGGATTCAGCTTCCCACAGAATTGAGAGCACTGTCCCACATTTCTGGGTATGTTGTGGGAGGTTATGTGACGCCTTTCATGAGCTAGCTGGGGCTGCAGCCTAACTGGATCACACTCCAAGAGACTCCCATTAGTTCTCATCTTGAGATGCTGTGCTAGGCACTGATGCTCCATTTTAGGACAGATATGAATTAAATTAGGAGACAAAGGGTGGGGGGTAAATGTGAAGGTGAGTAGTAGTTGAAGGAACTGGAGTTGCTTAGCTTAGAAATGAGAAGACTGTGATGGGCATGATCATAGCCTTCAAATATTTTAAGAGTAGATTCCCTGGCCAGTTTGGCTCAGTGGTTAGACCTTCAGCCCATGGACTAAAAGGTCCCAGGTTTGATTCCGTGCCAAGGGCACGTACGTATCTCAGTTGCAGGCTCAATCCCCTGCCCCAGCCAGGAGACAACCAATCTATATGTCTCTCTCATATCGTTATCTCTCCCTCTCTCTCCCCCTCTCCCTCTCTCCCTTCTTCTCTTCCTCTTTCTCCCTGACCCCGCACTCTGAAAAGCAATGGAAAAAATATCCTCAGGTGAGGATTTAAAAAAAAACAGTGATGGATACACTTTTGTGGAGTAGACTGGTGAAAAGGAAAGTGATAAGAGAAGAGGTAGGCAGATAAGGAGAGGGCCATATAAACTGAGGTGTGTAGTGTAGGTAGTTTGAACTTTTATCTTTAGAGCTGTGGAAGCCATCAGCATTGTAGTAATGTGATTATATTTGTATTTCATGAAAGATTATTCTGAAAGCCATCTTTAGATTGGATTTAGGGGTGGGAGAAGGGCCGTGGAAATAGTTTCTCCTAGAGAAAATTTGCATAGGTTAAATAGGAAGAAGAGAGCACATAATATGAAAAGTGAATGATTGCCCTGACCATTGTGGCTCAGTTGGTTAGGCATTTTCCTGTGCATTGAAAGGTTGCCAGTTCAAGGCACCTGCCCAGGGTGCAGGCTCAATCCCAGGGCGGGGGGGGGCATGCAGGAGGCAATCGATGTTCCTATCTCACATCAATGTTTCTCTCACTCCCCGTTTCCCTTCCTCTCTAAAAAATTTTTTTTTAATTCTTTTTAAATTTTTTTGGATATTTTAAGAATATTTTTTCAAAAGAAAAGTGAATGATCCATAAATACTGCAGAAACTTAAGGAAGAAAGTAGATTGACATAACCTAGCATAACAAAGAATTGGTCCCTTCCTAGGGATTTGTTACTTCCCTTACTAAAACTTTTTGGTTGCTTTAGGCAGAATGCAGCCCCACAATGCCATCCTGAGTAGAAGCATTAAAATGGACTGGTATCCATTGTCTGTTACCTTGTAAATACTGGGACCTGTCTGCACCAACCTTAATGTTGGTGTAGAACGTACCATTTCTGCTACTTCTCTATCCAGTGTGCATCCCTGCTGTCCCATCTAAATAACTGCTCAGGACACTGTTATATATTTTAGAAAAATTTTTGCATCTGGGATGCTGGATTAAATATTGACTTGCTTTTTTCCTATACTGTATTGTCAGAGATTCCTCAAACTAATTTTTGATGCACTTTCATTAATTTCCGGGATTGTTAATTTTTGTAAGTGATACAGGAGGGTGATGAAAATTATCATTAAAATGGTATATTACTTTATATAATGGGAAGGTTTTAAATTTTTAAAAATATTTTTTTGTCATTAAAAAAATCTCTTAAAGCTGGAAGCTCCTTGACATCCTTTGGAACAGAAACATCAAATAGCAGTACCCTGTCTCAGAGTAGCGCGGTTGGTTCTGCCTTTACACAGGATACAAGATCTGTAAAAACACAGTTATCTCAAGGTAAGCTGTTTTTTCTTTCAAATATTTCCATTCTAAACTTCTATACCGGTTTTATCTTTCTCTGACTGTAAGAACTTCTGCAGCTTGCAAATGACCTGTATAATTTTTATTTGGTTCTTTTAAAATTTTCTCCTAACTCCTGTTGTAATAAGTATATGATTGAATGATTTCCACTATTTAGACTTTTTACAATTCCTAGATCATAAAACTGAAGCAGTGAACTTTTCTGTAAGTTTGACATTTTTTTGCAAAGCAAATAAAATATAAATTGTATAATAATACTTAAGTATATCAGATTAATCCCAGAGTCACCACTGAAAATGAACTGTCCTTGATGAATTTGAAATAACAGCTGAGGAAAAAATATTCATTATGCTCTTGCATCTTTCCTAGCATTTTCACAGGATCTAGATCAACAATTTTCAACAGATGTGCTGCAAGAATTTTTAAAACATGTCGGGGCACTGGCCTCTTTTCCCTTAAATTGTCAAATTTAAAAACGATAACAGCTAATACAACAGTAGCCACTCAGTGTGAATGAATGAAAATTATACAGTACCTGTGGTGGGTTTTTTTTGTCGGAGGGGCAAAAAATGCATTTTTTGGTATACCACAAAATTTCAGTAATTAGTTTATGTGTGCCATGAGATGAAAAAGGTTGAAAATCGCTGATCTAGAGCAATGGTTCTCAGTGTCGACAACCCACAACTGGATCATTTAGAGTGTTTAAAAATGCAGATCCTGAGAATTGCTACATCAGAATCCCTGAAGCTTGTGGGGTCAGCATTTTAATAAGCTTCTTAAACTATCCTTTTTAAATATATTTTTCCCCCATCCAGTCTCATAGCCTTCAGTGGTCCCAAGATTCCAGATCTATTTATATCTCCTGCCAAAGTAGATGTTATCGGCTCATTGCTTTTAAACAAAACAATGTGAACTCATTTCAGAAAGATGCTATAATAACAGGACAATGTTTTCAAAAGCTATTGAGGGTGAAATAGAGCTAATGCTAAACATAATCCTATCTTTCTCACTTTAGATATTTTGAGATAATCGTAGTTACTATTACTCAGATTGATTTAAAATAACTTAATTTTTAAACATTCTAAAGATTTGTTGTAGATGAATTAGAAATACAGTAAGCATTAGGAAAAAAATTAAAATACAATCTCAATACCCAGAAATAAGAAATATTTATATTTGTTGTGCATATTTTCAGACTTTTTTGTAGGTTAATTTAACTGCATATATGTGTTTATGTGTATTGGTTTGTTATTTTATTTTTTTATTATTTCTTAGAGGAAATATTTGATCTTTTTAAGCATTAGTTTCCTAAACCATAAAATGGGACTTTACTGGTAACTAACAGACTTACTATAAGGATTACTTTTTTTTTCAATGTATACATTTAATGTAAATGTGCCTTTAGCATAGTGCCTGGCACATAGAACATGATCAGTAAATGTTAGCACTCTTAATCAATAGCCAACATTAACCTTAATATAGAAGCATCAGAAAAACTCTTATTAAATCATAAATAAGGATGCCTGTCACCATTACTATTCAGCATTGTTCTGGAATTTTTATCCAAATCTGGAACACATGAAAAAGAAATGAGGCGTAGATACTAGAAATAGCATTATGTGTCAGTGCCATGATTTTCTACTTAGAATTAAGAGTTCACTAAAAAGCCTAAAACTATTAAGGGACTTAAATTAGAGGGAAAATGTAAAGTAAATGTACAAAAATTGATCGTTGTTCTAAAACCTGATCTACTAATTATGTAGTGGGGATTAAAGTTGATGTTCACAGTAATGAGAAATAGGAATTACGTATAAAATATATAATAAGAAATAAGACCAACTTTTATGATGAAAACTACAAAATACAATAGAGGGACCTAATAAGATAATATAATTAGAGAATCATTTTATTCCTAGATACAGAGATAAAGTATTGGGAAGGCTTTATTTGTCATATTAATTAAATTTATTGTACTTTCAATAAATCTAAGTGGGATGGTATGAGAACTTAATAAAACAGATACACATACTATCTTAAAAATAAACATGGAATTATAGCTAGACACATTTTTAAAATAAAAAGTGATGAGATAGGGCTTACCTACTCGATAATATTTTATGCATAAAATAAAACAGGAATAAATTAAGAGATGAACAAATTCAAGAACAGATCAAAGTATAAATAAGTAATTAGTATATATGATAGAGGGGATGTTAGGACAGACAACTGCCTGGTTATTTGGGGAAAATAACTAGATTACTTCTCATACTTAGAACTAAACTAAATTTTAAATAAGTTGTTTTAAAATTTTAAGTACGTATTTATTAGAAGAAGGGAAGTATATTTATATAAAGAATGGCGGCACCCAGCCGGTGTGGCTCAGTGGTTGAGCATCAGCCCTTGAAGCTGGACGTCACTGTTCACTTCTGGTCAGGGTACATTCCTGGGGTGCGGGCCCAATCCCCAGTAGGAGGCATACAGGAGGCAACTGATCGATGATTCTTTCTCATCATTGATACTTCTCTCTCTCTCTTTCCCTCTCTTCTGTGATATCAATTAAAAATAAATAAATTTTTTTTATCAACTGTAATTTCTAAATTTTACACTATTAAAACACCTAGAATATCAGCTGTGATAAGCATGTGAAGATAGCTCAAGGGGTTTGTTTTTATTATACTGAAATAGCTATTGTATTTATTCCTAATAATATATCTAGTATCACCTGTACTTTTCTTATTTATAACAAAATTGCCATCATTGCTAGTAGACTAATTACAAAGGTTTGTAAAGTACACAGCAAATGAGTTCTTGCTGTGATTGCCTATCACTTGTGGTTCCGTAATACTTGTCATACAGTCTTTTCTCAAAGAAAAACCTGATGAAATAAATTTTACAAACTTAGAAGGTCATTTAATGTAGTATTGTAAAATTAAGTACACAATAGGTTTTTCAAAAAACTTAGCACTTGTTTTATAATTAAATCCCTTTATAAGGTTATAAGTGATTATAAAATGTCTTCTCATAGGCCAAAATTTATATAAATAAACCACCATGATTTCCCATTATATACAGTGTTTCCATCAATGGCAGAGTAAACTTTGGCATTAATGGCTGGAAATGGTGATACACTTTTGCAATTGCATACTTTAGATAACCTTGAACTTGGGGAGTATTACTAATGGTCACTGAAGCAGCCAGTGTTACAACCACCAGTGCTTTGTCAGCACTCACCAGTTCACCAGTTATTGATATTTGCAGCGTATTTGGGATTTTTTTTTAATACGCATAATTTTTTTAAGCAAAACATTTTGGTGCAATATAATGAGATATAAGAGCACCTTGAACAGAGATTTATCACAAACATTGTAGGTACAAAAAAATGTGGTGGTAGCACCCGATGTTGCATTCTTCTTTTCATACTGTCACCAGGCTCTTGTAAAAGGAAAAAAGGAGTTAGTAAGCACAAAACCTATATTAAGGGAAAATTTGTCAAAAGATTTTTTAAATGGCAAGGAATGATTGTCACTACTGTGTAATTATCTGAAGGGTTTATTTGTTGCTGGCCTTTTTAGTATTGATGTTTAATTTACCCAAGCCCCTAAGGTATTGAAGAACTTCACCTAACTCTCTAATTCTTTACTTTCTTAATAATAGTAATTTATTGGAGATAATACCTATAGATAGAAAGGTATCACTTTAGACATATCTTCAGAGAGTAGAAAAAATATTAAAGCCTCTGGAAATAATGGCTAAAGTATCAATACAATCTTGTGGTTATGGTTATTGGGGTAAATCTGCATCTGACCTACAACATGATCTTTGATAACAGATTCCTGGGGAATCTTGTACCAGGCAGACATTTTTTAAAAACTTATTTAAACTTTATTTCAATGGGTAGAAATACAGATAAAATTCCAGAGTTTGTTGTTTGGGGTTTTTGTTGTTGTTGTTTTTAGCTAATTGAGTGACCAGCCCACTAAAGATAATCAGTTTTAAACTCTGGTCTAGTAAGTAGATGAATTCAAATTTGCGCTAAGGATTTGAATTGGTAAAAATAAAACTAGACATTTTTTAGGGTCTAGGTTATTTTGAAATCCCCAAAGGATAGGGTAGTTTCTTATCTTTTGGTTACGTTTTAGGTCGTTCAAGCCCTCAGTTAGATCCTTTGAGAAAAAGCCCTACCATGGAACAAGCAGTACAGACCGCCTCGGCTCACTTACCTGCTCCAGCACCTGTTGGGAGAAGGAGCCCTGTATCAACCAGGCCTTTACCATCTACCAGCCAAAAAGCAATAGAGAATCAAGAGCACAGGCGAGGTAGAACTTTAGCTATTTACTAATTCCTTAATTGACTCATCGACATTTTCCATTCACCTTATTTTCATTAAAAAGATACACTTTTTATGAATGATCCTAGAAGGTTAAACTGAACTTGATAGAATGTTCATTCTTTCAAATTTGGCTCAAAGTAGTGATGTGGTGGGGGTATAGATTTGGAGGGTTTTGGTTTTTTTTCTCATTTCTAACTTTACAGAAGTTTTTGATTGTGTCCTGAGTGAATTTGTTACTCTGTATTTTTTATAGCTGAAGTACACAAAGTTTCAAGACCAGAAAATGAGCAACTCAGAAATGATAGCAAGAGACAAATAGGTAAGTTACTTGGATATGAAAGCAGTATTTTTGCTTCTCAATAGAGAGAACACTTGAAATGTGTGGTGAATAGTTGCTATTAAAAAAAAAAAAAAGAATGGTGGAGATTCCAAGATGGCAATAGATAAAGTGGAAGCTACAGTAACACTTTCCCAGGATCAAACTGGAATTAGAACTAAAATATAGAAAAAACATCCTGAATAATCAACTGAAGACTAGCTGGAGTGAACCCCCATAACCAAGGACCTAAAATGGAGGCCACATAGAGACTGGTAGGAAGTGCGGAGGCCCAAGAGAGCTGTCCGGGAGCCCACAGGAAGCAGCTGAAGTTCTGGAGGGATATCTCAGCTGTGGGGGCTCCCACTGAGAACTCTGGGGTCTAAACCCCAAGCTGGACTTCCCAGCCCACAGCACCAGACTGAGAAAGGTACTGGTGCTCTGGCTATGAAAAACAGCAGGGGTTTCTTTCTGCCAGGGAGATACTGCTGGAAATATAAGCACCCTCTTAAAGGGCCAACTCACAAAATTTTGTCTGCAGCCACTCACCTTGGGCTCTGGTAAAGGGAAGGCAGATTGGACTAGAGCTGTGTGAGAAAAATCCAGGGTTCCGCCTTTGGGGATAAAGCTCAGAAGGTGGCCATATGGCTTCCTGTGCTGAGTCATTCTCCCCCCCGCCCCCCGTACTATAGAGGATATCCTCCTCAGGCAGACCATTCCTATCCAAGCAGCTTTTGTCCTGTCCTGTTGGAAAACCTCTGGCCTCACCCTGTGGAGTTTATACCTTGCTATGGTCTACAGCCCAAGGCTCATTAAGAGACTAAGAATAATAGTCAGCTCTGGATGCTTTGAGCCTTTCCCTTATCTGCTTGTGGACCCTGGGCTTGGGAAAGCACACCTTGGTGCGCATCTTGGTCTTTTTCAAACGCACCTAGCCCCAGCAGAGGAAGCTACAAACTGTGGGTCACTGATAACTCCAAATAGGGTACCCAGGGCTAGTCACAAGCAATGTCTGACATTGGCCTGCACCAGAGACCCTCCAAAAAGACTGGGAGTCCTACCAGATCTACCTAATACATAGAAACAAACCCAAACAGGAAGCCAAAATGGGGAGACAAAAAAAATAAGCCCCAAATGAAAAAACAAGAGAATTCTCCAGAAGAGCTAAATGAAATGGAGATAAGCAATCTATCAGATACAGAGTTTAGAATAATGATTATAAGGATGCTCAACAGCATGAGAAAAGATGTGGAAACTATGAAGGAAATTAACAATGACATAGTAGAAATAAAAAATACATTGGAAGGGCTAAACAGCAGATTAGTGGAAGCTGAGGATCAGATCAGCAAATTAAAAGACAGGGTTGAAAAAAGCACTCAATCGGAGATCCAAAAAGAAACAACAAGTTGCCTGGCTGGCATGGCTCAGCAGTTGAGCATCAACCTGTGATCCAGGGGATCGTGGTTCAGCTCTTGGTCAGGGCACATGCCTGGGTTTCAGGCTCGCCCTCTAGTGGGGGATGTGCAGGAGGCAGCCAATAAATGACTCATTATTGATGTATCTATCTCTCTCTCCCTCTCCCTTCCTCTCTGAAATCAATAAAGATCTTTTTTTTAATTTTTTCAAAAAAGAAAAAGAAACAAAAAACAAGAACAGTTTAAGGGAGCTGTGGGACAACATGAAACAACAATATCTGCATCATAAGAGTACCATTAGATGAAGGAAGTAAGCAAGGGTTAAAGAATCTGAAGAAATAATAGCAGAAAACTTCCCTAGCCTGGTAAAGGAAAAAGTCGCACAAGTTCAGGAGGCACAGAGTCCCAAGCAAGAAGAATCCAAACAGGCCCACGCCCAGACACATCATAATTAAAATGCCAAAAATTCAAGACAAAGAATCTTAAAGGCAGCAAGAGAAAAACAATTTGTTACCTACAGTGGAGATCCCATAAGGCTGTCAGCTGGTTTCTCATCAGAAACTCTACAGGCCAGAAGGGAATGGCGTGAAGTATTCAACCTAATGAAAAGCAAGGATCTGAAACCAAGACTACTCTATCCAGCAAATCTATAATTCAAAATAAATGGTGAAATAGAGAGTTTCCCAGAAAATCTAAAGGCTAAAGGAGTTTATAAATGCCACCAAGCCAGCATTGCAAGAAATGTTAAAGGGACTACTGTAATAAGTAGAATGCTTGGTAAGGCTCCCCTGTGAAGCTCTCTTGACCAGGACTTTTGTTTGTTGGGAGTATTTTGATTACTGCTTCGATTTCATCACTTGTTGGCCTATTCAGGTTTTCTGAATTCATCCTAATTCAGTTTTACATGATCTCACTCATATATGGAATCTAATGAACAAAATAAACTGATGCACAAAATAGATACAGAGACATAGAAGCATGGAAGACTGGTGAATTTCAGAGGGAAGATGGGGGGAGAGATTAATCAAAGAACTTATATGCATAACCCATGGACACAAACAATAATGTGTTGAAGGCCTGATGGAGGGTCGAATGGGGGGGAAGGAGACATCTGTAATACTTTCAACAATAAAGATAAATATTTTAAATTAAATAAAAAGTCACATAACAAAAAAAATGAATGGTTGTCCCAGCCAGGTGGCTCAGTTGATTGGAGCATCATTCTATGCACCAAAAGGATTGCAGGTTCAATTCCCAGCCCTGCATGGCCATACCTGGGTTTTGGGTTCAATCCCCAGTAAGGGCATGTCTATGACACAACCAATCAGTATTCCTTTCTCCTCCCTCTGTCTCCTAAAAGTTGATTTTAAAAAATATTCTTGGGTAAGGATTTAAATAAAAGAAGAATGGCAAGGGTTGGTGGCTATAAAGGAGTAGCACAGGAGAGTTTCATTGTGGTAACAGAAAAGTTTTTTATTTTTTGGTGGTAGTTGTATAGATCTATATATGTCGCCAAATGTCATGGAAGTATACATAAAGACTACCAAAAAATGAGTACATGCAAAATCTGAATGAGATCTGTAATGTAGTTAATTATAGTATACCAGTGTCAATTTTCCTGGTTTTCATAATATACAGTTAGGTAACTAAAATGTTAGCTTTGGAGGGAAAGCTGGGTGATGGGCACATAGAACCACTCTGGACTGTTTTTTCAGGGGTTTTGTTCTTGTTTTGGGGGTATTGGTTTTTTGTTTTGTTCTGTGGGGTTTTTCTGTTTGTTTTTTGGTCTATTTATTTTAAAATAATAGGTTTTTTTAAGCATTACATTTCTGGAATAAACCCTATTTGATGGTAGGCGACATTATTATGTGTCTTTCACTTTCGTACTATCTTTTGTATTTCTATGTTTTTGTGTCAGTTTCATATTAGCGTTATAAAATTGTTTTCATTGTTTCTTATGCTTTTACAAATAGAATTATCTGTACCTTAAAAGTTTGACATTTTCTCATTTAAATTATTTACCCCCTGAGCCTTTTTTGAAGTAATTGGCCAGGAACTTTAATTTTCTTTCATGATTATTGATTTAATAAAATTGTATACTTTATCTTTTGTAATCTATATTATTTAGTGAAATTCATACTTGCTAACTTAGTAGAAAATAAATTATAATTTAAAACTCTTCCAAATTAAAAAGTTAAGGCAATGTGTAATTACCTTACTCAAGTAAGAATTGGAAAATGGCCTTTCACTCAATTTTAAAAAGCTAGATATATTTTAAATGTGTAAACACCTCATTTGTCCTGTACATTTTTATATGTGTTTTTGAATGTGCTTTGTGCCATAGTATACAGAGTTTCTGGTTGCTACTTTTTTAATTTGGAAAAAGAACTATACTTCCATCATTTAAAAGTTATATAAAATAATAAATAAAAGTTATCTTTCTCCTTCATAATTGATCACCAAGAGCTCATTGACAGAGCAGTGGATATTCTTTTAGATTTTTTTCTTATAATATGTAGATGTAGACTATACTTAAAATCACATGAGGATATGTTTATTGATTTTAGAGAAAGAGAGAGACATTAATGTGAGAGAGAAACATCAATCGGCTGCCTCCCTTACATGCCTGGACTGGGGGTGGGACACACAACCCTTTGATGTACGGGACCATGCTCTAACCAACTGAGTCACCTGAAAAGGCCAACTTTTTTTTTCTTCCTCAAGACAGAAAGATCATGCAGTACTTCCTGGCTGTGGCCAAGGCCTTTTTTAATAGTAAAGTTGGATGTTTTAAATACCCTGCTTAACGCCCGACTGGGCGTGGCTCAGCAGTTGAGCATCTACCTAGGATCCAGGCAATCAGGGTTTGATTCCTGGTCAGGGCACATGCCTGGGTTGTGGGCTCCATCAATGACTCTCTCATCATTGATGTTTCTATCTCTCTCTCTCCCTCTCCTTTCCTCTCTCTGAAATCAATAAAGATATATTTTAAAAAATAATAATAACTGCCCTGCTTAACTAAATTTAAGTGTCTGGATATGCTGCTGGTTTTTTCGTGGTTGGTTTTCTCAAACTTGGGCAGTTTGCCAAACTTCAATGAACACAAACCTGTTATTCTGTAGTCACTTCTGATCTTTGTCTGGAGGTCTGTATTAAAGATTATAGCCCGGCTGGCATGGCTCAGCCATTGAGCATCTACCTAGGATCCAGGAGACAGCGGTTCGATCCCCAGTCAGGGGCATGCAAGAGGCAGCTGATCAATGACGCTCTCCCTCTCCCTTCCTCTCTGAAATCAATAAAAATAAAGATTACGCATAATTCTAATCACTGAATTGATAATGCTTTGTGCTCTATATGTTTCTGTTAACTCACATCAAGTAGTCATATTCCTGGTTGATGTTTTTTCTATAACTATTTCTCTGGCACTGGATATAAGTCCTGTTATTATATTGTAGAGAAAGACTAGGTACAGGAAGACTTGAATAATATGGAGCCACTTAGAGGGAGACAATAAAGATGGAGTAGGAAGTGTTTGGAATGTTTGAGACCTGGTGCTGCTTGTCTTTCGTGTTATTTGTGATGTGGAAATAATGCCTCCACCTTGCAGTTTGTTCTGATTCATGTTCATTTATTTTTCTTATTATAAATCTTGGTCCCTGTGATCCTTTCCATAAAAGACTTCCTAAATTTTGAGAACCCACTATGTGTTTGGTACTCTCTAAGTATGAGATATAAATAAGCAAAACATAGACCCTGCCCTCAAGGAGCATACAGTTAGTACCAGAGTCTCCCAAATTGTTTGGTTGTACATTCTATCAGCTACATATATGAGTGTAGACCCCATAAATATAAATTTCATGTATGCTGTTTATAAATTTCATGTGCACTATATTAAATGTTAGTGAAACTTTTCTTTTTTAAATAAAAAACAAATATAATGTATAACTTGTAAGCATTTCTGTTGACCACTTAATATAATAAAAAAATAATGGCTTCTGTCTTAAACCAGCTTATTTTTTCTTTATTAACATAGTTCCAGGTGCTCCTTCAGCTCCAAGGAGAGGGCGTGGGGGCCATCGAGGTGGCAGGGGAAGATTTGGTATTCGGCGAGATGGTCCTATGAAATTTGAGAAAGACTTTGACTTTGAAAGTGCAAATGCACAATTTAACAAGGAGGAAATTGACAGAGAGTTTCATAATAAACTTAAATTGAAAGGTGGGTTTTTTCTACTCAAAAAATACTCTTTATTTGACTTGTGAATCATCGGTGTTTAGTGCAAGTCTTGCCTTTTATGGTATGTGCTTGTTTTTCAGTGGAAGATAAACTTGAGAAACAGGAGAAGCCTGTAAATGGTGAAGATAAAGGAGACTCAGGAGTTGATACTCAAAACAGTGAAGGAAATGCCGATGAAGAAGATCCACTTGGACCTAACTGCTATTATGACAAAACTAAGTCCTTCTTTGATAATATTTCTTGTGATGATAATAGGTACAGTCTTTTAAGCTGTTCTTAAGCTCTTAGGAGGTTGAAGTGTAAAATGATTTATAAATTCGCAAAGTTTAATGAATACTTAAAAATATCTACTGCAATTTTTTAATGTTTTATCTTGCTAAAAGAAAGTAATTGTACTAAAATTTAAATTAGTAAATAAAACAGAAGTGTTCATCTAACATCTAAGTAAGACCTTTTACTTTACCCCTCTACGATGTAGTTCAAATAAAACCAGAGCCAAAAGTACTAATGTTATTTTGAAGTTTGCTGATATCATAAAACTCTGCCGCATTTCAGTAAATGTGGATCCAGAAAATTGTCAGGTTAATTGAAGAACCTAGCATAACAAACTAAATAGAGTTCCACGGTTTCTGCTGACCAATCCAAATTGTCCTACTCCTGGCTGCAGTTTAGTGCCACCTGGTGGCAGTTGTTTACCGCAGTTTAAACAGGAATGGAGATGATACTGAGCCCTGTGATTGGGCTCTAGGATAGCAGCAGCAGCAATCCAGACACTTGCTTCAGACATCAGGTCCAGGGATTGGGCCAGGATTATACTGGTGACGCAGTATGATCATACTGGACCTACCCTTCTGCTCCCAGCTTCCGAGACAGGGTTTCCTTTCCTGGCTTTACCTTCTCTTCCACTGGGACTGAGTAGAGGGTAGAGTTAATTGCCAATCCCATTATATTTGAATTCCCATTATATTGGTGGTGTTATGTTTCTTTGTTTTTTTAACTATTTGCAAGAGTCTAATACTGGTCATATTTTCACATGAAATTTAACAGAATATTATAGGAACATATTGCCATGGACAGCTTGTGATGACTTAGATAATATGCTTATTCTTATTTGATCTTTAGGAATTGCTTTGCTTTAATTTAGGAATTAATGTTACATAGTTTTGCTTGAAAATGTTCTTTAAAACCTGATATACACTGAAGATTATTTGTGCTTATAATAGAGAACGGAGACCAACCTGGGCTGAAGAAAGAAGATTAAATGCTGAAACATTTGGAATCCCACTCCGTCCAAACCGTGGCCGTGGGGGGTATAGAGGCAGAGGAGGTCTTGGTTTCCGTGGTGGCCGAGGGCGTGGTGGTGGCAGAGGTGGTACCTTCACCACCCCTCGAGGATTTCGTGGTGGATTCAGAGGAGGTCGTGGGGGTAGGGAGTTTGCAGATTTTGAATATAGGGTAAGTATTATATGCTTTTCATAAAACTACCTTTCAAACAGCATGCATTTTAATGAAACTCAAAATGTTTTTACTTTTATCTATTTTGAGTGAATACTTTAGGGCATTTGTATAACTTTCATCTTTACCTGATTAGGATATTTATAGAATTTTAAGGAGCTGTAACTTCTTAGCTAATAAGTCTTTTTTGTCTTTTTATTATAGAGCTATGGTTTTAGATTTTATGGACTGGTAGAATTTCCCCAAAAAAGCTATTAGAAACTGACTTAGGACTATTTCTTTTTTTTCTTTTTTTTTAATTATTTTTTGTTGGAGGCACAGGACACCACTACAGGTATTATCCAAAAAAGGATTATGTCATACCATCTTTATTTCAGATAACAAAGTATGCTTTAACACCAAAAGACTAGGAAAACAAACCTGTACGTTTAATAACAGCTATTAAATAGTATTTTATAGTATTTTTCATGCACTAGGCTTTGTTCTAAATGTTTTTCACATATTAACTCACTTAAACCTCACAGCAACTCTGTGGTGTAGGTTCTCTTTTTAATCCCCATTTTACAAATGAGGAAAAGTATATACTAAATAACTTGTCCAAGGTCAGCTAGTAAGTGGTGATGCTGGGTCTTGAACCTAGTAAATTTGTTCCTGAGTCAGTGCTCCTAATTTAGTTTTGTGAAAAACTCAACTACATTTTCCTTGGTTTTCTTATTTTGCCGTGGCCTTAAAAAGCTCTTGATATATTGACACTTGGGAACTGCTGCTAGAAAATTGTATAGCTCTGTGTAGTATGTTTATATATATTATTTACTTATTTAAAAGAGTCTGTAAATTAAATCTATGTCACTATCCTAATTTATTGACTTTTAGGGATAGTGGAGATGAAGGTATATAATCACAGAAAGGATCAATATCCCCTAGTAAAGAGGCATACTAGAAATTGCAAGGGGCAGCTGAAAAAAGACCTGCTGGCAGGATTTCATTGTCCAATATATTTAAAACTGACAGTTGTTAAGATCTTTCTTAAAGGTTCAGTATTAGTGGCTTTGGGGTCAGGTCTATTAATTTTTTTAAATTTTTATTTGTTGATTGATTTTAGAGAGGAAGGGGGAGAGAGAAACATCAGTTTGTTATTCCACTTATTTATGCATTCAGTGATTGATTCTGGATGTACCCTGATCGGGGATTGAACCCACAACCTTGGCATGTGGGTGTTTGGGGACAACACTAACCAGCTGAGCTACCCGGCCAGGCCTGGTCTGTTAATTTTGATGCCTTTGATATTGTCTCATCACAGCCAAGACTACTGAAAATTAGCCTTTTTATTAGCTCTTGTCTATCCAGCCATGGTGTCCTGATGGAGCTGCAGCACTTATAACTTGCAAAATTGCCATTCTAGCTAGGAGACTGTATCTTAGGAACTTGCTGCTCTTGCCAGTGACATTTTCTTACAGAATTTAGTAGCCTTTTCACAAATACTTGCCCTTAACTCCTCTGCAGTCTTTGACACTGACCACCACCCACCTAACTTGAAATCTTTCTTTCTAGTTTTTTTTAAATACACTTATATTTTTTTAATAAAACAACACATTTTTCTCAACACAACCTATAAGGTGCCTCCAGGTTAGAAGTCTAGTGCTCTCTAGTTCTTTTTGCCAGTGGGACACCTCTTGGTTCACTCTGCCACAGATATGTGGGCCTTCTTGTCTTGTTTAGGGACAAATTTATTCGTGTCTCAGGACCTTTTTTATCCATTCTTTCTGCCTGGAAAATTCAGTTTGCTTCTTGCTAGCATTCCTGCTCCTGTTTGCACTCTTGCATATGCTCAAGTGTGCCAGAGTGTGCTCACTCTCATTTGCTCGCTCTCACTGTCTCCCACTCTGCCCCCCTTCCCTCCTCCCTCTCTCACTTTCCCTTCCCTCCTCCCTTTTCCAGCTTGTCAATGCATAGCTTCTAATGAGTTTTTCATCTTGGACCTCATATGCTTCCACCCGCATTGCTCCATCTTCACCTACTTTGTGCCTGTGATCAGCTTAAACTTAACCTTCCTCAGAATGTAACCTTCCTCAGAATGATATCATCATCTTCTTACCTTCCCATTTTCTCAGCTTTGCCTCTTCCAAGTGTTTGATTAGCTAGTGATACACCATTGTTTGTGTCCCCACTGACAGTGGATGAAAACTACATTGAGTTAGCTTGGTTTGAGAAAAAGGGCATTTAAAATAGACTTCAATCCCAATGAGAATTTTAGTAATTATTGCTAGTATGACCTCAGTTGAGTCATTAAACCTTTCAGATGCTCAATTTTGACATTTGTGGAGAGTTGCACAGTCTTACCTCTGATACACCTTTTTAAAGATCATTAAAATCTCAGTTGGGAAGCGTCTGAGAGTTCTGACCTCCTGGCCAAACTTTATACTACTTCTGTAGCTGGAACTTTACCCTTCCTGAGAGCATCATCCCACCCCAGGGATGCTCTCATTGTTTGGATTTCACAGACATGCATATAATTTGAGTGAAAATCTTTTTCCTATTAATTTAAACTATTAATTTAACTCTGTCCTTGTAAATACACAGAATATATACACTCTTCATAATATTTTAGATATTTGAAAAAGTAGCTGTCACATTGTTTGTTTAAGACTGGACCGTTACTTCACTTTATCTAAATTTTGAGTAATCACCGTGTGCATAATACATGCACTTACAAATGCAAACATCATTTGAAGCTGTGTCTCACTGTTTTGTCATTTTGAGCCTTTAGTTAAAAACCGCTTTTACAAACAGGGTGGGGCAAAAATGGGTTTACTGTTATGAGTATGCAAAATACAGCATTCTTGTATTGTTTATTAATTATTGTATTTTCCATATGAACAACTGTAACCCTACTTTTGCCCCACCCTGTATAGTGCAGAATTGGAATGCATTATAGAGGTTGTCTGCATGAGTCTTTATCTGCACTAGTGTATTTCTGACAAAATCTGCTTGGGTGTTTCAGGGAGTGACAGATTCACCCTAACGCATTGCCCTGGTGCTTAAAAGGTTCTAATGTGACATTGCTCTGCCTCCTCTCTTACTGTGAGGGTCCTACTGGACATATCCAGCCCCATTTCTCATTACCCTCTAACTTACCTGATTTAAGCAAGTTGACTCATAATCATCTCTCATACACACTGTTTTTTATTCCAACTCTGACCTCATTTATTGACTGAATGTATTGAATTCTTCCTGTATGCCGAGCACTGTACTGGACATTGGTGGTAAGCAAAACACTCGGTGCGGCCTTCTTAGTGTTTATAGTCCGGTGGAAAGTCAGACACAGCTAAAAGTCAGGGGCTCCCTTTCAGTTACACTTCACAGACTTGCCCAAGGTTTTCTCTGTCCTTGTAAACTTCTCTTCCTTTCTTTACTGATTTATTCCTTTTCTCACCTCCTGTAGTATCTGTTTTCATCAGCATACATTTTAAATGCATTCATGTTCCCTATTTCGTGCATTTTGTTCTGTATCACCAGCTAGATGGGAGCCTCTTGGCCTTAGTGAGTATGTGTTCTACTTTTTCCACCAAAATGCTGTGCTCAGCTTGAAGTAAGTACTTAGCATATGTTAATTAGGAATACACTACTTTAGCCTTTAGTGGCACCAAAGGTCCCATCAACGTGGCTAGCCTCTGATAGTCCATTCCAAAGTTGAATGACCCTTCTGCCTGCCTTGAGAAGCCTGGCCTTCTCAGCAGCCCATGCCTTCTAGATCATACCATCTGGCACATTTAAAGGTAGAAATAGTAATCACTATTACATACAAGAGATTAACCTGCAAGGATTAAACTCATTTCTCAAACATACAGTACTTCTCAGAGGTGGACCTCAATGGCATTTGCAGCAGCCTTCATGTAATGGTTGGCTTTGTTCATTGTGCTCTGTTGACATGAATCATTACATTTTTAGGCTGAGCATAAGCAAATCTGATTGTTTAATGAAAACATGGGTTTGATAGGATTATCAATTTTTAGAACTCTTTAAAAATAGCCAAACTAGGACCTCTCTCCCACCCCCACCTCAATACATAGAGGTTAACTCTCTTGACCTAGGTACAAGCTAATGTATAAAGCCAAATTCACTCTCTTTGAATTATAGCCCCATTTTTCTTAAGGATAATGTTAGAAACATAAACGTATGGCGAGTTTGGTTCTATGGCACTTTCTTTTTGTGTGTGGGGGGAATCAGGCCAGGGGTAATAAGAGGAGAGCCAGCTCCTGTTTTATATGCTGCTGCTAAGAAGCTAAGTAACCAGGGTGGATGAGACAGATTGCCTCCCATTTGAGTATGTGATTCTTCAGAGATCATCCAGACAATGGGGTGTCCCAAATGACTCAGTATGGTTCTCTCTCCCTTTCACTCTTTCCCTCTTTCTTTCTCTTTTTTGCTTTTTTCTTTCAGAAAACCACAGCTTTTGGACCCTAATAGGTCTAGATTAATCAGATAGTTTTCTGAAAGGTTAAAAAAAAAATCAGAGCATGTGAAGGTTGGCTTTAGTGGGGAGTGGGGGGATCATCTTCAGCGTAATTCTCTTTCCACCAATTTACACCATGCCATAGATATTCCAATTTAATAACATTGTACACATGGTTTGGTGTATGCACAGATAAAGTTAAGTCTTTAACATAGGAAATATGTATTTCTAACAGTCAGGGTGAGAGTCAGCAGTAAAAGCCAGGTATGTGGTAGCAACTAGTTCTGAGGAAAGTAGAAGCCCCTGGCTCTGTTGCTCTGTGTACAGGCCTTTAGTTTAAGATTAGTCTCACTGGAAAGCTGGAGGCTCCTTGAGATTTTTACTGCTTTTTCCCTGGTTACTTCTATAAACTTCCCAGTCAACTCTCTGATTTTCAGAAACTTATTTCAAATTTAAAGGTTATCTTTTAAAAGGAATTCCTAAATCATTGCTTTCTCCTGGCATGACCCATTGGAGAGAAATGTTATTTTACTGTCTGGATATTTTATTACTTAGTAAAGACATAAAAGACTGAGAGAGATTTTATTAATCTTTCAAAGTACATTGTTGGTTGTACTTGATTAATTTGACTAGTATGTTGAAGGTTTAAGTTCTGTCATTTTTTTAAAGATTATTGGGATGGCAGCCAAAGATAGTGGGGTTACTGGTGCAATTTCCAGTCAGGGCACGTGCCCAGGTTGTAGGCTTGATCCCCCAGTAGGGGATGTGCAGGAGGCAGCCAATCAATGTTTCTCTCTTATTGATGTTTCTATACCTCTCTCCCTCTCCCTTCCTCTCTCTCTCTAAAATCAATAAAAAACATTTTTAAAAATAAATAAACTCTACTACTAACTAGAAAATGTAAACAAATAATGAGCTCCTGCTGGGTGTGAAAGTTGTAAAAAGTATTTTTTGGAAATCAGTGGTACAGATTTATACATAAAAGGAGGGTATATTTAAAGATAATGGAAAGTATGCTTAAGCATTTTAGAAAGAAATAATTATTAATTAACCAATAATTTGAAACAGCACATTTTTTTTCCTTTTTTAGAAAGACAACAAAGTTGCTGCATAGTCTACAAAGAAGTCTTTGAAAATAGGTGAATTTCTAGCTCTTCGTGGTCCTGAGAATTGGTTTCAGTCTTTATCAAGAATGAAGAAGTGAATTCGCTGTATATTTGTCACCAGCACTGGGTTTTTTTGTTTGTCTGTGTGTCTGTTTGTTTGTTTTTCTGCTTAATTTCAAAGATATGATGCAGTTATATTGGGGGGGGCTCATCTTTAAAAATGAGCATTAAATATATTTGAAATAGCAGAAGGTCAAGTAATTTCTTATGTATAGTTAAACTAAAGCAGTACTTCAGTGGGACTTACAAGTATTTTTTCATCACTGAAAGGATTTTTCTTATCACTAAATTGTATTTGGCAATTACTGCAAGTTGCCTGCAGCTAGGGCCATGATACTGTGCTTCAAGCCACAGAAGGGTGGGGGTGTGTGTGTGTGTGTATGTGTGTGTATCTGTCTGTCTTTTGCCCTTTCTTTCTTTTTGGAAATCCTGTAATATCCCTTTTGAGGTAGCTTATTTCGTCAGTTAATTAGGGTGCTGGATGGTAGATAATTTTGTCAGTCAACTATGTACACACAGTAAATACTGTTTCTTAGGCAAAGGTAACTTTTTTATATAGTTGTAAAATTCCATTATATTCCATTGCCAAAGAAACATTAAGAACTTTGTATAGCTGTATAAAAAGCAACTAATTTTTTAAAGAATAAACATTTTAAAGTCAGCAAACATACTGTGTCCTTGCAGAAGTTGTGCTGAGGAGCAGAGCTATGGGTGGGTCTTTTTTTCATAGTTTTCCAGGCTTAAGATTTTTTATTTTGATTTTTTTTTTCAATGTTTGGAATTCAAATGAAGATTTGATACATTTGTTCGTTATCTAAAAAGGATAAATTACTCATGCTCATCGTAAGAACTTCATTTTATAGTAAATGGCATATCACAGGATTTGTCCAAATAATAGATATTTTCAGTATATGAATGTAAATAATCATAGATAAGAATGTACTTAGCTGTATTTTCAAATAAGTAACCCTCCTCCTCTTTTTTAAGACAATAAAACTAGGCATCAATTAACCTGTTCTTCCTGATAATGCCTGGAATTTTGTCATGATAAGTTGACTCATTCTGTTATATTTCGTGAGGATTCAGAGTGTTAGAAATTATTTTGGCAACCTATCAGATATCATAACACTGGTCCTTGGGCCTGTGATTCACAAATGACTCGATATAGATTTCATTGCTAACTATAAATTACTAGTAAATCTTTTTGATATTTTAAGCTATAGTGGGGGAAAATCTGGCCACTTTTGTGTTTTTATGAAGGCCATGGAATAAAAGGGATCCAAAGATTTAAATATTCTTATCTCTTTTGATTTTATTAACTTTCTCAAACTACTCAGTAGTGATAAAGATGTGGAAAACTGCATCGTAGAATTAGAATATTTAAAGATGGTTGATATTTTTAATTTTATATCTTTTGTATAGCTCTACAAGATGTTTTGTAATTTGGTTTCATTATTAAGTTTCAGTACTTGGCAGCCAGAATTTAGATAATATTGTTTAATACTGTTTGCTTGCATGTTAACAACAAAACCGTCTGGAGGACCCATATATCATGATACTGAACACTTTCTGAGGCATTCTGAACATCAAAGCAAGTGCTATGGCAACACCTGTAGACCATTTGAGATGTCTGGGCCTATTTCAAGAACAAAAACCGTAAATACCAGTTCTGCGTGCTTTAAAAATATGAATTCATGCCTTTTCCAAGCCCTCTGGGTCACTGACTAGGGCATTTGGTGCCCCAACAGTAACTGGCAGCATGGCATACCTGCAGTGCACCTTACAATATTAAAGCAAGGTTTTTATTCTGAGACAGAATAAAACTCTTCAATAAAAAATGTTCGTCAAAGTTCTTTCTCTTTAAACAGGAATATATTCTTATAATAGAAAGATAAAGGCATCTTTAAAATGTCAGAATGGAATTATGGTCATGTTTATATTCCCTAAAATAACTAAATTAGTTTCTTCTAAGATTTATTTATTGTTGTAGGTGTTTAGGTAAAGGCAGAAGCCCCTTCTCTCCCCCCCCCCC